TTTGTGCAGCATATCACACTTTAAGCCATTTAAAAGTCACAATCAATAATATTTTCTGAGATCTTACAGAAATGTGTCACCAGCTGCAACAAAACAACCAACTACATTTAAGTGATGAGAGATGAGATGTAATGTTTGATCAAAATCTGGTTCTAAAGCAAGTTGTTTGCATATCCAACACAGAACAAATACACCTTGATTTTCATCAGATGCATCCACACTGACTACAAGACAAGCATGCTTGTCTGTTTTTTTACAGAACAGGTCTACTGCTTTAAACACGGTACCATGAAACCACTGTGGGCTCCACAATTGGACCTCCAAACAGAAAAATCATCCCTGTTTTCTGGCTGTCAGTAAACATATCTGCTGTTTTGGGGATTCAGATCTACAGGCCAAAATCTTCTTGCTGTCTCTCATTTTCTATTTTCTATTTTACAAGCAATTTCCAATAACACCCACTGTGAACATAGACAGCTCAGCTCTGCACCCATTTCACTCGAAATGTCTCATTTGATTTGAATGGTGAGTGAAAGGAAGCAGTCACTTGCTTCAAAGCACTGCATTAGTTTACCAGTGCACCCCATTAAAAATACAATAAGCACCTCCATTGTACAAGTCAGGGCAGTTTTGCAGCTTAGTAATGACACCGTTATTGCAACAATGCGTGGTTGGTAGGGTTGTAACAGCATCTTAAACAGAACTCTTCTGTGTAAGGTTATTTTTTTTCAGCGCTGTCATTGATTTCCCTTCAGGAAGGAAGCGTTTGTATACTTGTAATTGGTTGTCAAACACAGTGTTGTGACAGCCATTCACGTATACTGAGCAGGTTTATAATGCCTGTCTTGTATGAGCTGATGACAGACTTTAAAGTTAACAGGGAGTCTGACTGACTCTATGTAGTGATACCCTTTCTGAGCTGTAGTACAAACTTACACAGGTAAATACACGGTCTACTACACTGGTATTATCAGCAGCCACCCATATTTTATGAAAGAAAAGCTTTAAAACTTTGATGTTAATGCTTTTTTAATCAGATACAATGAATCTTTATCTGCATTTTGTACTGGATTATATAGAAAGTTCTCAATAATAAAGGAAATGCTCTTTATTTATCTGCTTAATGAGCAGTTGCACATTTTCACACTGAAAGCGCTGGAATAAATTAACTGTAAACCTAATTCATGTTTCACTGCATTGAAGGAACGTGTGGCCTCGGTGAGTCTTTGAAAGGAAGATGTTTTGTGTGTAATATGAAGCCAAGAAGTGAGACAGACTTTCACTTGTGTTGCATGCAGCATCAGTGTTTGGGCATCGATAAATGAATGTTTTCGAACTGACCTCAGGCTAATTTTAAATTGCGGTGTGAATTTTCCCAAGTTTTTTTATAGACCCCAAAGAGCCTTGTTTTAGCGGTTTGCTTTGTCTCCGGAAATTCCAGTGAAGCCTTGTCAGCGGCAGGTAACTGGGTCTACAGATTATTATTAGCCTTTGTTTCTCATGCACATGTAGCTCAGCGGCAGGATCAGTTTCCTAAAGGGACCAGGATAGCCATTGATTTATCTCGAAGCGGTGGACATAGCCTCTCTCCAGCTGGTCCTAAATGTTCTCTTGCGACCTTGACATGAATACAGAAGACGAAAGCTCCAGTGACTCATGCTTCTTGTAACAACAGCTGCATGGCTCAAAGGGCCCTGAGCTGGAGGACTTCAGTCCAAGGATGAGTCACATTGATCTTACTTTGTCTCAGTAGCGACGGGGCAACGTATGGGTGTTAACCTTGTTGTTTGTCCAATGTGTTTTGAGCAAAATGCCAGAATAGCTACTGGCCAGATTGCTATACAGTATGAAAAAACGGTACAGATGATTTTTGTGACCTCTTTGATCACTTTTTGCGCTCTAGTCCTTAGCTTTAAATATAGGCTCTCACTGAAATGACTCCAAATTACTTCTGTGACTCTTCCATAAAATGTCAGTGTCGTGATTTAACTGCATCTTCGTACTGTATACATTGCAAAGACTATGTACACTTGATTTAAAAACTAGCAACTTCTCTCCAAGCTCCTCTGTGCAAGTAATTTTGCAAACCTTCATATCTGTCTTATCTCATTTGTGTGTTGCCTGTAGCAAACAATATGTCAGTAGCTGTGGGAAAAAAGTGTGTGTAATTAGGGAACTTACTTTTGCATGTATCTTTAAATGAGAGAAACAAAGGGAGTAGCCCTAGATTCAATTTTGCTCTAAATCTTTCCTTTCCCCTAGGGCAGGATGCAGTCTTCAAACCACCGACTACGAGATATGGAGCAGCACCACCCGCTGCTGTCGGCAGGTGCAGATGTCGAGACAGGGAGCCTGGCAGCCGGTGTGATGGTTGGGGGCCCCCACGCGGCCCATACAGCAGGGAACCGCACACTGTGGTTCATTCAGGACAGCTGTGGCATGGTGTGTGCAACCATGACCTGGTTCCTGGTGCTGTATGCGGAATTTGTGGTGAACTTTGTCATGCTTCTGCCCGCCAAGAACTTCTGGTACTCACTGCTGAACGGGGCCACCTTCAACTCGCTGGCTGTTCTTGCATTAGCCTCACACCTGCGCACCATGTTGACTGACCCGGTAAGGATGTCGAACAAATAGTGGGCGAGGTTGAGGGTAAGATGGAGGTTGTAGAAAACATGTATAATGTCAGTGAGTAAGCCGCAGGTTTTGTGTTTACAAGACAATTACACCAGTACAACAAACTCACATACATTTAGGTTTCCTTAAAAACAATACAGGATTAATGCTTTAGCTAGATTTAAAGAAAGATGTCGGTGTTTGGTGTAAGTTAGTACTCGCCCTCTGAACAGAGGACTCTTACTGTAGTAGACATTTTGACATTCCATGTTCTAGCACAAGCAAAAAGCACTGCCGTGGTCTGACACTTGGTGTCACCTACTGATGTAATCTGGGACACTGAGCTCAGGGCTAGTGTGCAAGTAGACGCTGTGTGTAAAAGTGTGCAGAGCACCCTACTAAGTGGAGTGTCTTTACAGAATTGAGGCTTTTTAACAAAATGTTTCATTTAGATTATAAACCAAAGAGCAAAGCCTGGAAGTAAGTGTTCACATTATATTCCAGCTGAGCAACTGAGAGTGATCTTGGAAGGTATTCACGGATTAATTCTGTGCCTGTTAAAATGCTGCAAAACTTTATTCAATTTATTTAGTGGAAAATTTTAAATGTGGCTCTTCCACTGACAGCAGCTTTTTAGATATGATATATGATATGCTGTGATATGATATATATTATATGATATATATTATATGATATATGATATCATATATGATATGATATGATATATGATATCATATAGCATATGATATCATATATGATAGATTATATTTCCAAGCATATCGATTTAAAAGTCCAAAATAGTATTCAGTGGCTTATGTAGTCATGTATCAAAGTGGAGTTTAAACTATTCGTTAAAGATCTCATGTTTATTTGTGCATTCCAGTTGAAGTAGGAGTTACACCTGACTGAGGATCAGTCATTTTGTAAGTTATTCAGACCAAATACATTGCTGTAGTGTCAAACTGAAGAAATAATCAGAACAGTTGGTGTTTCCTGCACAGTCAGTCCAATGAAAAGACAGTTATTAAAACATGAACAAGCGGACATTTTCAAATACCCTAGAAATTTTTTTAAAAAATAATAATAAAGTCGCTGTATGAACAACAACACACAGCTTGACCTTTCTAAGTCTGAAGCAGATTGCATTTGTTTTGACCTTTTGTAACTGATAGTATTCATCTTTTTCTTTCTGCCCTACTCTTCAGGGTGCAGTTCCTAAGGGCAATGCTACTAAGGAGTATATGGAGAGCTTGCAGCTGAAGCCTGGTGAGGTCATCTACAAGTGCCCAAAGTGCTGCAGCATCAAGCCTGAGAGAGCACACCACTGCAGGTCGGTCTTACATCATGTCTGTACAACAGGCATAGCGTGAGCAGCATGTTAGCAGAGCAGCAGCAGCCTCAGGCTGTGAAGTCTCACAGCATGTGTTCAAGCTTAGTATTGAGTGTAGATCCCAAAGTTTTGCTAGTACTCAGAGCCTAACAAACAATCACTGTAGTTATGTGCAGAATACAAAAGACAATAGGTGTGAGGTATATAGGCAGCAGTGTCAGTTAAAGAAAAGCATTAAATTGTGAAATTCTCTTTGCCATCTAGCATTCAAAATAAACATTTGTACTTATACTTTGTGAAAACAGGAGCCGTGTGGTTGATGGGATTTGTGTTAGCAGTAGGTTTGTAATGCATTCATATCTTTCTCCTGCCTGCAGTATTTGTAAACGATGCATCCGGAAGATGGATCATCACTGTCCCTGGGTCAATAACTGTGTGGGAGAAAAGAATCAGAGATTCTTTGTTCTTTTCACTGTAAGTACACAGAAGCTCTCGGGGAGTCATCTATCTGTTAGAATTAATAAGAGGGTGTGGTAGTGAGTAGAAATGAGCATTTGACATACTGAAGCTTAGCGGTCATGATAATAAAAAAATGATGCCATGACTCATACGTTTCCCACGTACCTTTACATAGAAATTATTTTATATTTGAAATGGTTTTAATTACGTGACTTCATCCAAATATAAATAATATACTAGAGTACAGTATTCAAAAAAAAGCAATTCCATGTTTGTATTTCATTGTGATATAACCTGCTGAGGTTCACAACTCAGTAGTGATGTACTGCACAACAAGAACCAGCTTACATTAAATGTGCTCTCTTGAGCATTTGTGCCTCTGCTGACAATACCAGCACTTTTTTATGGCTTCATATGCTGACTGGAACTTTTTTGAAGACAGCAACATAAAGCTGTCATATACAGTATGATTGAACAGGACAAGGTCACTTTGATTTAAATGTTTAGTTTGCTCTCCTCTCAGATGACCATAGATGGAGAGAAGTTATCTATGGAAACACAGATGCAAAACTTAATATAGTTTTTATTATTATTATTATTATTATTATTATTATTATTATTATTATTATTATTATTAATGGCAAGTCAAATGG